TAGGAGGTGGTGCACTCACATCTTTGCCACGCCCAAGCACCGCACTGTTGCATTTCGGGGTTCCTTTCGTTTCGCGGCGTCCCGATGCTGGAACGACCTGCCCCCACCACTGCGCGCCCTAAAGACAAGGAATACCTTTAAGAACAATTTTAAAAAACACTTGACACAAGCACAACAGTTACAGCATAGTTAACTTACATTTGGGGCAAGCGCGACGCGAGAAGGGGCATAATGGGTCTGCTCCGGCACTGGTGGGCCGCAATGGGCCGAGATTAATGCATGTTCATGACTGTCACTTCACCACACACCAGTGGGTACGCCTTGATAATGGGTGCGCCCTGCAATTTTAAAATTTTGAAGTTTTAGTTTTAGCTCTCGACTATTTTAAAAATAACCCATAGTAGCTATCTCACCGTCTTTTTTATGCGCATCACGCACGCAACATCGTCAAACGCTTCCTCACGAGGTCAATTTACACCGTCCAATTCCGACCAACAAACTGTGGAAGTTGGGAGGAAGGGACAGCATTTCTTCTTTACGCCTTGAGCGGTGCTTTGTCTGTCTTGCTGTGCACATTTTTGGTTCCACTCACATACTTTGTCCTAATTACAGTAATTCATCTTCCATAACCACAAACCACGTTTAATTACGTGTAATATTTGACGTGGTAGCTAGCACGCGGTCAGGGATGAGGATGAGGCACAGACAGAGCAGAGACACGCGACGCGTTTTTCTTTTTACGCAGAGTTCCTCTCATAGAGAAAAGTAATATAGATGACCCAAGCTGAACTGTCCCACCAAACTCAATGACAGGGGGGCGCTACCATCGTTCAACTATATGGTTTCCAACATGGCAAAAATCAGAACCAGCGATCCGGTATTGACGGTGGCGCCCCACTGTCAATGTCATCGATAGGACAGTTCACTATTTTGGAACTATATCTCGTGTCGTCTGCCACAGATTATGTGTGGCGCGAGTGCGATGTTCGGCGATTCGCCCGAGTCGCACACCGAAGTCACGGTAATACTATCTATACAGTATTCCAACTCGGCCATATTTTTGAAATAAATGTCAACTGCCGCGCGGTATGTCACCTTATGACAACATGCGATAGGGCTGCCCACCTGCAGACCCTATTTTCACTACATCTGCCTACTAAGAATTTCTATCTAGTTTTGTGAATGTATTTTGTAATTGTAATTAGGGTTCCGTAGCCAAAATGGCAAAAACGGAACCCTTATAGTTTCGTCATGTCCGTCTGTCCGTCTGTCCGTCTGTCCGTCTGTCCGTCTGTCCGTCTGTCCGTCTGTCACAGCCGATTTACTCGGAAACTATAAGTACTACAGTGATGAAATTTGATGGGAATATGTGTTGTATGAACCGCTACAAAATTATGACACTAAATAGTAAAAAAAAGAATTGGGGGTGGGGCCCCCCATACATGTAACTGAGGGATGAAAATTTTTTTTTCGATGTACATACCCGTGTGGGGTATCAATGGAAAGGTCTTTTAAAATGATATAAAGTTTTCTAAAAAACATTTTTCTTAAAGTGAACGGTTTTTGAGATATCAGCTCTCAAAGTCGTAAAAAGTATGTCCCCCCCCCTCTATTTTTATAACTACGGGGTATAAAATTCTAAAAAAAATAGAGGTGATGCATGCTAATTAACTCTTTCAACGATTTTTGGTTTGATCAAAGTATCTCTTATAGTTTTTGAGATAGGTTGATTTAACTGTAATTTTGGTTAAGTTATTGTGCTTACACTGAAAACGATGGCTGAACCTTATAAGATAGATCAAAAAATATACTACAGTATTGTACACCTTTTAAAATCCGCGATGATATAAAATCTTTATAATGTAGGTACTTTTTACGAGAAATATTAGCTTATTCAAGCAATACGCCATTAATCCTTATCCAGTAATGTACCTTAAATACATTGTGCATTTGATAAAGTTTAATATTACAAATGTGATTGTTGAGTAATAATAGGTTAAACATATCCATCGAACCAATATTTTTAAAACGCGTTAATCCTATAGATTATTATTACATCGATTCAAGAAGATCGGTCGCTCGCTGCGCTGCAGCGCGTGAGTTGCGGGGCGTGGTCTCGCGCGGGAGCGGGGATAAGATAGCTAACCGCGTCGACCCGAACGGGCAGACACGTGAGGGCAGACGTCGTTGTCACTTGTGCGCGCTAAGAGAATTTCATCGTTCCCATTTACTTCTTTCGCAAGTCGAATTTGGCGTTGAGACTTTTTAATATTGAATTGTACCTATTATAAAAAATAAGTAAGTAGGTATACTGGTTTAATAGGTGCTATTAAACCGGTCACGTACTAATAAATCCCCCAATAATATAAATTCCTTTGTTTTTGGTGCAAATTTTAGTGTTTCGTAGCAGGTTTTTAAAATTTCTAAAGCTTATTGTATATCATCTAACAATGGATACTTTAGATAATACGTTTTCCTACATTCTGAATTATAATAACTATATCGAAGATGATGTGGTTCGCGCATTTCATGAAAAGTTACTTCGGTGCACATCATTTAGACCGCGTGAGCTAGAATTATTTCAACACCCTGAACTGATTGAACCTGTACCTAAAAATGAGACGCACCTTCAAGTAATTTATGACGGTGACGTGGGATTAGTGGGGCACTGGAGTTGTATTTATTACATTAATGGAATACTGCGTGTGTACGATAGTCTTGTTGGTGTTCTAGGAAAATCGCAAAAAATATATGTAAAAGCCTTGTTTCCGTATCTATCGGAGTCATGTATTCAGTTTCCAAGTGTTCAGCGACAACCGAATACTATTGATTGTGGTTTGTTTGCCATTGCTTTTGCCACCTCTTTAGCTCGGAATATTTATAAATACATATATAAAATTAATATTCATACATAAAAGTACAAGGCAAAATATCGGGAGAGTTTAGGCTCCATTCACCAGGTGTATAAATTGACATAATAAGTTTATTATATTTGCTGCTACGGAACCCTTTGTGCGCGAGCCCGACTCGCACTTGGCCGGTTTTTTTTTTTATTTTATTTTGACAAACAATATAATGAGTAGACCCGTAGTTTTGACGGCCAATTTTAGAAAAATGCGCAGACGCTAGCGACCCAAGCTTTACTGGCTTATTGACAAATTTAGTAAACGAGGCTTTCCTGGAATGCCAGCTCTCTGGCGCAAGTTTTTCAAAAGTTATAGCGTAAAATGTTACCCTGGTCTACTATAGCAGGCCACGCGTGTACTCTAGTGTTAAGATTTAGTGACAAATCTTATTTTGCGACCGTAAAATGTATGCGCCTTGACCGAGGCGTACAAAATGCTTGATTTATTATACAGGGTGTTAGGTAAATGGGTTTATAAGCAGACACTGGCCCATGTTAACGTGTGCATATAAATGGTATGGTGAAGTCAGAATTTTAATTTTCACACAAATCTGATTTTATAAATTTTATTTTGTATGAAAATTTAAAAAAATATGATATCACTGACTACACCAACCATACCATTTACATACAATGTTAACATGGGCTAGTGTCGGCTTATAAGCCCATTTACCTAACACCCTGTATAAATAGTTACTTGTAATTATTTTTATAAAAAAAAAATACTGTTTACAAAACAACACATCGTCAGTTTATTACTGTGACACATTCGCGACACCCCCGACTTTTGCATGTCGAGCGCATACCGAGATTTGAATTTCGAAGGAAAGCTCGCGTTTCGTCCGTTTATATGAAGTTACAATATTGTATGATAGTATTACCGTGCCGAAGTGTGAGCGACGCACTCGCTCGAGTAATGGGGAGATAGATTGTGTTCACACTACTGCGTCGGTGCTGGATGTCTCCGATTTTACTTTAATATTTATTGTTTTAGTTTTATTCCCGTTCGTTGACTTATTTATTTATTTATTAGTATACACTCAAACACTCAACACGTTACCCACACTAACGCATTGATGGCACGTTCAGGAGCACACACACAACACACTTACATATTCTTAATTTAGTATTTTTCTTGATTTTGTCTTTAGCTTAGTGTCTGTAATTTTATTTTATTTTTATTGTTTGTTTATATGTCAGCAGAGCGCCACGCAGGGCCTCGACTGTTGGGCATCCCCCCTCCGCTCTTTATTATCCTAATAAAGTTTTAATAATTAGTTTGTTTGGCGGACGCGGTTTGGGTCCCAACAGCCGAGGCCTAGGGAAGGGTACTCGCTGAAAATCAGCGTCGGGACTTTCACATAAGTCCCGAGTATCGCTGAGCGGGCGCCTTTTTGGCTCGGGATCTTTACTGGTCTTGCTGGATTATTTTACTGTTTTTTATTTATTTTTTTTCTTCTTCTTTATGTACTTTTTTACACTTGTATTTGTCATTTTTTGTCCCGTGCCAAATAAAGATTTTTATTATTATTATTTTTTCAAAAGAATTTTGATCTCGACCGTAGTCGGCAGTAATGAAACAGGTACGGGCTTATACCAAGTATCCTGGTTCATTTGATGTCTTAGGAGGTTTGTAGTGTAAGCGTGGATGGGTTTAAGAAGCGCCGTACTATTGAGCACGTGTCTATAACTATTGATTTTTGGAGCGATATGTACGTGTTTTTGTGGAGTTCAAGTAATTTAAGAGCAGCACTGAGGGTTTTTGGGACTACGCCGGTAGACGAGATAACAATGGGCACAATTCTCACGATATCTTGGTGCCACATTTGTTTTATCTCATCAGCTAGAGGAAGGTATTTTTGGATTTTTTCTGTGTGTTTCTGTTTCAGGTTATGGGTGTTTGGGACGGCAATATCTATGAGGTAAGTAGTTTTTGAGTCTTTAAGGGTAAGCGTGATGTCCGGTCTATTGCTTAGTATGGTTCGGTCGGTTATGATGTCTCGGTTCCAGTAAAGTTTTGCAGTTTCGTTTTCTAAGACATTTCTTGGTTTGTATTTATAGTAGGCAGTATGTGTGTCGAGCAGTTTGTATTTAAGAGCCAGGAGTTGGTGTATATGTTTAGCGACGTTGTCGTGGCGGTGGGTGTATTCTTTGTGGGCCAGTACGCTGCATCCTCCTGTGATGTGGTCTATGTTTTCTGTGGTTTGGTTGCATAATCTACATTTATCGGTTTCAATTGTTTCCTTAAGTATATATTTAGAGTAGTTGCGGGTTTTTATAACTTGGTCCTGTATTGCCACCATAAAGCCCTCAGTCTCGCCGAATATGTTACCTTTTGTAAGCCAGGTGGATGATGCAGATTGGTCGACGTGATCTTGTTCTAACTGATGTGGATACCTGCCATGTAGTGCTTTTTTCTTCCAGTTTTCTATTTTCTGTTCGTCTTTGAGCATTTTCAGTTTTGGGTCGTATTGGATATTGTTCAGTTGAAGGGGTGTTCCGGCGTGGGGGAGGGTTGTTATTGCTTTGTGTAGTTTACTGTCATTGGCTTTTGTGAGAAAGTATTTACGGAGATTATCTATTTATTATTATTATTATGTAGTGATATTTAACATTCCAGTATAATAATAAAAGACGCATACTTATAAATTATTTTATTGAATTAATTCTTACATTGGTACACTTAAAACATAAATATTGACTTATATTGAACAAAATATGAAACGGTCAAACTAAAAGTTTAGAGTAAGTATTGCACTTTTTAGATACAAGAGGTTTTTTACATAATCATTATTGACGGCAAAATGTTTGGTACTCGTAAATTCAAATATTGTGAAAAATTGTTAAAAATATTTTTGGCAGATTATGCTGAGTATTAAAAATAGATTTAGTTTTTACATTTACAATAAAACTAAGATACGTATTCCTAAGTTAAAATAATCTTATTGAAGTACAAATACTTCTACTTAAGAACCCCCATTGGGAATGAAAAAACGTTATATTTCTGTACTTAAATCAGACATCTTGGCTAACTTTGATTTTTCGGGGTAACTTTAAACAGTAAAAATTTGTTCAAAGTTGTCATATCATTCAGTTAAGTTAGAATTTCTGTTAATTCAGCTAATTTTGAAAAATGAACATTGTGCAATATATTTTTTTCACTGTTCAAAGTTACCCTAAAATTCAAAGTTACTCAAGATGACTGTACCTACTTAGTTATTGAAATTGACAACGACGGAGTGTGGTGAAGATGTGATGATGAATGATGATGGAATAATTTGACTGATTATGTTTTGATATAAATAGATCTATCCCTATCATGTCACTGCCAATGGGGTGAAAGAAACGTCACATGGTGGGAAAACAATTTTGCCGACTCAACCGAATTGGAATAGAAGTTCCAAGAGTGGAAGGTATCACTGTAAAGCCCGGTCTGTGAGCACGTAGAATTTTGTACAATGACCCCAAGCTACTCATCATTATCGCTCGCGCGTAATTATATTGCCGTCGCGACTATGCGATGGGCGCCCGCAGTGAGTGTGCGAGCGCGACAGCAACATAATTACGCGCGTGCGATAAGGATGGGAGCTTGGGGTCATTGGACAAAATTCTACGTGCTCGCAGACCAGACATTAGAAGGTTCTAGAAGTTAGTTCCTTGGTCTGGGGCGGCCCTGCTCGGCGTACTCGTTGTTGGGCCGCTTTGACTGGTTCGGGTTCTGGAAAGAAAAATAGTTATGTAATAAGTTTTTAATTCAAATACAAGTCCCCGTAAACTACATGTTCGGGATTTTAATTATGAAAGTGTACACGTTACGCCTATTTGGTTTCGGCCGATTCCTCCTACATATTACAGAATTCGATTAAAGTTGTAGAGGAGGTTCTATTAAAAAGCGAAGTTAAGTAATCTGCTATAGTCTGCGTTGTAAAATAGTTAAAGTCACAATACAGATTCGCTAGCTAGACCATGTACCATTCGTTATTTCAATTCGCCACATACAGGTAAGTTTTTATCGAAATTAGGGACGTAACGAAAAATTAGATATGTAGTGATTTGAGAGCTTTACGAATTCTAAACAGTGAAGGTATGTGCTTTAACTTTGTCAAGAGGCCCTGGTGCTTAATTTATAAATTACTGACCAAATGACATACACACATGACATAAGTTTCTCTGACGCCGCTATACCTACTTCTTGGAAAATCCATAACTGAATTTATGTTCGAACAGGCCCGTACCGATTGATCTCCACAATATGTGTCAACGCCAGGAGGGGTTCCCATATCCCTATTAAGGGGTTGAATCGAATCTATTTGATAAGGGGCAAATGTTACTCCAGCCTAAAATTGGAAATCCCGAGAACGTTCCCCAAATTCAATAACTGTTTATGAACATACTTTAGCATGTGACTTTGTGCACGTGTCAACTGTTTCCTAGTAGAGCCTGTATGTAAAATTACGTCACTATTCAATCTATACAGGGTGTTAGGTAAATGGGTATGTATACAGGGTGACAGGTAAAGCGATACATTCCTTGATAGGGGTTAAAGTAGAGCTTCTTTGCAGTCATTTAAGTCATATGACACCATGTCCGAAACTTGTTAATTTCCAAGTTATTCAAGAATTAAGTATTTTTTAAAAAATCTCCAGTTTTTATGTTAAAATGTACCCTTGTAATGAAGGATACGGAATAATGTTAACTTTTTTGTTGTATTCGTATAGCTAAATAATAAGATTGACATTTTAAATTAAAATTTGCAAGAAAGAATCATCATTACTCAAGTAAAAGCTAAAAAACCATGTATCATTTTGCAAAAAAAAATATATCTTAGGCAATTAAACGAAGAATTTCCAAGAAAAAATGTATGGAATGTTGTGTACAAATTACAGAATTTAGTTCCTTGATTCATTAGCTATTCAAAAAGCTACAGGTGTTTAATAAAAACTACATAATTATTTTTTTATTTGAATTTAAACGTCTAGTAAAATACTTTCATAAAAAAATTCATAAATAAAAAAGTCACACTAACAACTATTCTTGGGTCTCAATAAATGAAAAACTTAGTATCACCTAATTTTATCTAGGTACATTATTTTAAGTCCTGCTCAAACTGTGAGCCCCGTCTTCTAATACAAGCTCGTAGTCTGTTTCTCACTTTTGTTAGTAAGTAAGTAAGTAAGTAAGTAAGTAAGTAAGTAAGTTCTTTATTGTGTATAGAAACAAGGTTACAGAAAGATCTTAAATTAATTACAGAGTATCACTTGATCCTACCCTTTCAGGCGTATACACATTTTTAATTTTTATATCTAAACATATTTATTTATAATCTAGGTATTCTTGTACACTATAAAAACATTTTTTAGTTAACCATTCTTTAATAACATTTCTAAATTTTGAGAATTTTAGTTCTTTAAAATCGTCTGGTAGTTTATTATATATTTTTATACACATAATAAAAGCATTCCTTGATGCTAGTGTTAATTTTGTCTGAGGCCTTACTAGTTTATTTCTGTATACAGAGCGTAGGTTTCGATTTGAAATTTGAAATTTCTGAATAAACAAGTCTTGATTTTGTTGGACAAATAAACAACAGTCAAAAATGTAAAGGCAAGGTAAAGTTAACAGATTATATTTTCTAAAAAAGGGACGACAGGAGTCTATTTGTTGTAGTCCAAAAATAGCTCGAATACATTTCTTTTGCATAATAAATGCCTTATCCCTATGTACAGAGTTTCCCCAGATTAAAGCTCCATAGCGCAAAGATGAATTTACATAGCCATTGTAAGCAGTGATAGCAGCCTCTTGAGATACAATTTGACTAATACGTCTAAGAGCGAAAACAAACCTATTCAGCTTTGAACAGATTTCAAATATATGTTGCTTCCAATCACAATGACTGTCCAAAGTTATTCCTAAAAATTTTGTATGTTGAACAGCGTTAATTACCTGTCCCTTAAAATTTATGTTAAGTTTCGGTTGTATTTTTTTATGTGTACCAAATTGTATGTATTTTGTTTTATCTATGTTTACTTTTAAATTGTTTCTATTAAGCCACTCAATAACCTTACATAATGCCATGTTTATATCACTTTCATGACATAAATAATTTTTATCTTTATCACCTTTGATAACAACAGTGGTATCATCTGCAAACAAGATACATTCATGTGGTATACTTCTGGGTAGATCATTAATATACAGAAGGAACAAAAGCGGTCCCAAGATACTACCCTGAGGCACTCCAAATTTATTAACTTCACATGATGATACATAGTTCTCTAAACATCTACTTTTAGGACAATACTTCTGAGTTACCACACATTGTTCTCTCTGTGACAAATAGCTTTCGATCCATGTGTAGCATGGTCCGCGAATACCATATTTATAAAGTTTCGAAAGAAGTACTTTGTGGCATACAAAATCGAAAGCTTTTGTCATATCGAGGAACAGAACTGACACTGGAATACCATCATTAACACAATTTGTTATAGATCTAATTAATTTAAATGTAGCTAGCTAGTGATGTACTTTTACTTTTGCGAAAGCCGTTCTGTTCCTCTTTTATAACATCATTACTGTCTAAAAAACTATTCAATCTGCTAAACATCAACTTCTCTAAAATTTTTGAAAAAATCGGTATTAGTGCTACTGGTCTATAGTTCTGTAATAAAGATTTTGCACCTTTTTTGTACAACGGTTTTACAATTGATTTATTTAAAACATTAGGAAAAGAACCTTCAAGCATGAGTTTATTTATTACAAATGTGAATTGCTGTACTATGATTAAAATACTCTTTTTAACAATATCTGTGCGAATCTCATCAAAGCCTACAGACATCGAGTTTTTTAGGGAGTTAACTATTTTTATGAGTTCAGTTTCAGATACTGGACTTAAAAATATTGTAGACTGTACAGATTCTATATGTTCATCAACCAAGTAAGAATTGGAGTTTTCATGGCGATTGCCAGAAACGCTATCAATAAAATATTTGTTAAAAACATTTGAAATAGTCTGTGGATCCTTATACTCATTTTCGGGTGTACATATCTTTTGTATCGAGCTTAGCTTTTCAAAATTCTTAGTGTATCTATTAATTACATTCCATACCGCTTTACATTTGTTATCAAATTTATTAATATAATTTAAATTATTACTTTTCTGAGAGAATTTAATACATTTCTTTAAAATAGATGAATAATTTTTATATAAAATACTGTAAGAGCCATAATTTTTTCGATTACATAAGTAAAGTGTACGCTTTCTTTGACAACTTCGTCTTATACCCTTTGTTAACCACCTTGAAGTTTCACTTCTTAAATACTTCTTTACCTTTACCGTAGGGAAACATAAGTCATAGAGTAACTTGTACAAACTGTAAAACTCGTTGAAAGAATCGGTAGCATTCAGATTTTCTTCATAAATTGTTGAAAATGACAATTTTCTTAAACACTCGAGGAACTTTTCTTGATTCTCGTTGCAATAGTCCCTTTGAAACTCGTACCACCATTTTGTTACAGGTCTCTTTCTTTCTTTGATTGGAATTCTAAGCACTTGAGCTGTATGATCAGACAGACCCAATTCATGAATACTGGATGTGCTACTTTTTATATTGGTTGCTATTTGATCTATGCAGGTTTTGGTGTTGTTTGTAATTCTTGTGGGTTCATTTATCTTTAATTCCAAATTGCAATTTTGTAAGACTTGTTGTAGTTTTTGTGACTCTTGTTGTCAAACTGCTGAATATCTTGAGCTGCCCTCTGAATGCGCTCACGAAGCTCTTGCTCGTTGTTTACGGGGGTTACATACAAGAGATACTTTCATGTGACCCCATAAATAAAAATCGCAAGAGGTCAGATCCGGACTTCTGGCTGGCCAAGGAATGGGTCCACCGCGCCCAATCCAACGAAGTGGATATTGTTGATCCATCCATTGGCGTACACTGAGACGAAAGTGTGCTGTGTGTGAAAGCTTCGTTTGCGCATTCAGAGGGCAGCTCAAGTTTGACAACAAGAGTCACAAAAACAGAAGTGAGAAACAGACTACGGGCTTGTATTAGAAGACGGGGCTCACAGTTAGAGCAGGACTTAAAATAATGTACCTAGATAAAATTAGGCGATACAATTATTATTAAAATACTAAGTTTTTCATTTATTGAGACACAAGAATAGTTGTTAGTGTGACTTTTTTATTTATTATTTTTTTTATGAAAGTATCTTACTAGACGTTTAAATTCAAATAAAAAAATAATTATGTAGTTTTTATTAAATACCTGTACCTTTTTGAATAGTTAATGAATCAAGGAACTAAATTCTGTAATTTGTACACAACATTCCATACATTTTTTCTTGGAAATTCTTCGTTTAATTACCTAAAACATATTTTTTTTGCAAGATGATACATGATTTTTTAGCTTTTACTTGAGTACTGACGATTCTTTCTTGCAAATTTTAATTTAAAATGTCAATCTTATTATTTAGCTATACGAATACAACAAAAAAGTTAACATTATTCCGTATTCTTCATTACAAGGGTACATTTTAACATAAAAACTGGAGATTTTTTTAAAAAATACTTAAATCTTGAATAACTTGGAAATGAACAAGTTTCGGACATGGTGTCATATGACTTAAATGACTGCAAATAAGCTCTACATTTCAATTATTTTATTTTTCATACAAATCGGATTTTATAAAATTAATTTTGTATGAAAATTAAAAAAAAAAAAATGATGATATCAAATTTCTGACTTCACCATACCATTTATATGCCCATGTTAACATGGGCTAGTGTCGGCTCATATACCCATTTACCTAACATCCTGTTTTAATTTTATTTTACCTTTTCACTCTATTTATTTGATAGTGACCTACAGAGTAGAGATTAGAGAGCTGCATTTATCTTTATAGGAGCTTTATTGATTGAAGTACAAAAAATACCTTACCTATTCTATATTTTAACAATCTATACTAATATTAATGCGAAAGTAACTCTGTCTGTCTGTCTGTCTTGCTTTCACGCCTAAACCACTGAACCGATTTTGATGAAATTTGGCATAGAGATAGTTTGAGTCCTTTTTATTCCGGTTTGATAGTTTTTATCCCGGTTTTTGAAACAGGGACGCGCGCGATAAAGGTTTTCTATGACAGGCAAAATTCCACGCGGGCGGAAAGCTAGTAGGTACTAAATAAGTGTAGTGTACAGAACCAAAGTTATAAATGTAGCTCATAATTCAAAATCAAATATGATAAGTCCCTAATTATCTCCATAATAGAGAATGGGCCAACTAATATTAGTTTAGAAAGTCTAATCGGGAGATTGGAAGTTAGTTTGAGTTCCGTAAATTAATCTGGGCGTTTTGCTAGAATAGCCAAATATGGCCAAACTTTTCGCTTTAGTTTCTAGGGATTCCTAATTTAGGTCAATATCTCTACTTGGGAAGTAGTTCGAGGTAAAATATAGGGAAAATATTGCCTCCCACAATATTATACCAATTACCGAGAGAAAAGGTGAGAAAAGGAGATTCTCCTAGATTGTGTCTGGGAGAAAAACAGACTACGTCGCGAAAAACAGTTGAAAGGACGAAGTTGAATAACTATGATGGCGCCAAAGGTTTTGAGAAATCTGTGACTCATTGAGCTTATCTGTGCATTAGAATTTGTCTGATACTATTAATCTATCATCAATCTTATAGCTATTTGTATTAATTATTATTTTTGGTTATTAATAATTATTAATGTTCGTCGCGTCGTCGTCATGTCGTCATAACGTCTCATGGTTTCTTTATGATTACGTCTTATAATTTGTGTCTGACCATTTACATTCTCAAGGAGATGAAGAAAATTAAGAAAGAAGAAGAACTTTCCACTGCTGTGATGTTTTCTTGCGCTGCTTCTTCTCAGCACTGGCCCATTTATTCTCCCGCAGCAGTGGTAGGGTTAATACTGGGACGCGGACGTGTAAAAGCGCTTTCTAAAAGCTTAAGCTTACTTGCAAAAACATAACCCTCCTTCTGGCGCAATGAGGGCTATCGTTTTTATACTTCACAGTTGGTACCCCTGGCGATTGACAGGACCTTACTCTACAGTGGCGCCATCTTGATGAGTGCAAATGCGATAGTCCTCCTACCACTTTAGCGCTCACAAGTTGGCGCCACTGTCTTCGCTACTAGCAAGTGACAGGACCTTACTCTACAGTGGCGCTAACTGGTGAGCGCTAAAACGATAGCCCTCATTGGGTAAAAATCAAATGCGTTTTAATATGAGTTTTTTTTAACCCTAATTCTTACCGGTCTGTTCTCTTCTTCCTCCGGTGGGGGGGCGGTCGTGGTAGGCACATCGCACTCCTCCGTGGGCGGCACAACACACCTCAGCGACCGTCTGTCGAACACCAGCATCGCCGGACACCTCTGCAGGCGCGGGTATCCTCCTTGGCACTGCCAGTATCTGTTGCAGGACTTGCCTAGGGGCACGTTGCCGTTGGGATCTTCGTTGCAGAGAGCTGGAAAAAATGGAGAAGTTAGTTTTTAATGGTTTCAGTATGGTTTAGCAGTCATTTTAGAAGTACTGTAATGGCATCAATAAAAATCCTTTTGGCAATAAAAGATTGTTAATACCATGCCACAGACAATGACCTCTCAGGGTATCGCAACACAAACAAAGTCTGTCCCATTCTGTCCCTATGTATGCTAGATCTTTAAAACAATGCAACGGATATTGATGCGGTTTTTTTAAATAGAGTGATTCAAGATTAAGGTTTTTAGGTTTAATAAAATATATTGTACCTGTGTGAAGCAGGGGCGGGTCGCTAGTGTTTATGCACAGCGATCACTGCTCTTAATTAATGGTAGGTTTGGAGCACTGGTATAATTATAGGAACATGACCAGTGTTGTGTGATTTGGCCAAACACTACAATCTATTTTTAGCCTCAAACGCTAAAGCTGTTATAACTTTTGATATAAATTGCTTTCATACCTATCATTCCTAATTTTAATACGAAAATGTCTTCAAAAAAGTGGGTTTGTTGTTCAAAAAACTTCGATAAAAAAGAAAATGCACAGGGATATTAAATTAACTAATCAAATGAAATTTGGAAGGCTAAAAATAAAAAGGTCGCCCCGCAAAAGGTTGGTTTTTTTTTTACAAAATGGAGTCAATTATTTAGTCAAATCACTTTTTTTATAAAATTTTCTCACCCCTTAACGACATTAGAAGATTACACTGTAGTAAAAATTTATTGAATTTTGTTGTTTTACGAAAGATTTACGTGTCCCAAAATATCTCTAAGCACCAACGTTCGTGAAAAGAATTTCTTTTAGCAAGCAAGGTATGTAGAGTGTACTTAAAAATCTCTTAGCATTTTAGCCTTCCATAGTTTCAATTTGTGCTCGACAATGCAGCCCCAAACAAATACGAGTAGGTTCTCATGTTTTATCTATTTTTGCACTTTCCTCATATGAGTTTCGCAGAAACTGAAAACAATGGCGTCCATTGTCGCAATTTGAATTTGTAATATCTGCGACTGCGAAACGTGCCTGTTTTACGATTAAATTACGGCGACAAATGTAAAGGTAGGTCTATGATAGACGAGTTGGTCCAATTCCAAATAAAAACTATTCTATTCTACAATATTTGAGTCAACTTAGAGTCTTATTCATGATAGTAGAAAATGGCAACCACCCTGTAACCCCCCTGCAAAGTAACAAAATTCTCACTCTATCTTTAAAATTCTCGTAGAAGTTATACTATAAGTTAAACGTTTACAAATTCTAAGCAAGCAAACATTTATAAACAAAAATTTAATTAAAAAGTAAAACAAAAATAGCTACTTCTTGGTTTTTGTTCACGTTGTAGAAACACTAAAGAAGGATTAAACTTCTTAAAGGTCAGACTGGCTCTAAAAGGGAATGTGTTTTAAGACTTTAAGCTAAATACTAAAAGGAAAAGCAATATAACTAAAAGTTTGAACTCTTAGGAATTAGAGCTTAATTGCCCGCAACCATTTTAAGCGAAATCTTAGTAAAATATGACATCTTGAATTTCTAACTGAAAAGAAACTGAAGGACGTAATTCTGTCGGATACGAGTAATAGATTTATTGGCGCCAATATTTGATTGAAATGTTTGAATTGGAAGCTTAAGATTTACGTTCTTCCAGGCAATTTCTCTCGTCATGAGAACCTTCCTCCATTTCCACGAACGAAGAGATAATTTGAAAAAGAATTGTGCCAGCTGTAATCGAGTATTATACATTTAAGGATACACTTAAGAATTATTTTTTTATTTTGGTGACAAATTACCTACTAATGCGTTTAAAAAAACATAAAAACATTTAGTTCTCTCTTATCTCACTGATTGGTTAATCCAATTACCTACTAAGGTTAAGTTGCAGCACCTTATATTAACCGCAACAATAATAATAACCGGTGCTTTTTGTATGGAGTTACAATTTCGGGCCATTTATTCGATTTTTGAAAGGAGGCAACATTTTGCAGGATAACGCACACCACGTCGCTTGCCTCTGTAACTGACGTATCTGACATTTTTTTCGAAAATGAGTTATTTACAACATCTTAATCAATTTTGCAAGACGAATCGATCTGTCTAATCGCCTGAAAATTTTGCTAAATGTCAGTTACGTCAGTCAGAGAGGCAAGGGACGACCAAAGGGTCTGCAGTCTAGTTTACAGGGACTCTACTATGATTGTTAGAACATGCGTGCACGTATCCGACCGGGCGACCTTGTGCTGATCTACATACAGACAAATGATCTGGTGCCTATTCACACGTTACGACACTGATTAAACCTGCTCCTTGATTAATATAGGGTAACCATGTTGACTAAAGACTGACAAGAATCTGGATATTTTTTGAAACGCCCGGCCCGGATGATGAAATAAAGATGTGCATCGCTCTATGGTAGTCTAGTTATTTGTCAAATACCCAGAAAAGATTTGAATTTCATATTATCATCTTAAGATTTCCCATCTACAAGGAAGTCAAATATTTACTCGTATATTAAAAATTTGGTCTAAAAGTCCGACGGTGATTGCCAAAAGTGAGGACATGTCCTGAAAAAACTTTTAGAATGGTCACTAGATATGAGCCCTGAGGTACACCAATAGGTAATAATATATGACATAAAACGTGCTAAGTCAAGCTAAGGAAATAAGTAAAAACAAACTTTCCAATGCATTTAAGTTCAATTAGTTTTGAAAGTTAAGGAAATAATTTTTAGCTATATAAACTTCATTTTTAGCATCGCTTTATCTATCACATTTTATGCTCTGTACAGAAATGATTTAATGTATTAAAATCACTGGATGACTAACTTAATTTTTAAACAAATTGTTTCAATAATCTATTAATTAATGTAAAGTGCTAATTACCTTAGTCTAGACAATGCGATTCCAAGAGAGTTGTAACAGTAAGTTTCTATGTGTTAATTACGATGAAAGCTCTTTTATACAACACTGAGAGTAACAATAACAATCGAAAGTTATTGTAATTGTTAAGCCAGTCATTACTCATTATTGTTAATTAATCGATACATCATGATTTCTGCCGGTATCTCCGCTTCTAAGACAAAAACGATTTGCAACAAAGCACTCGATTAGCTTAATGATCATTCGTACATGTCGATAATCGATCCGTTTCTCCAATCAATCATCTGACTTTCACTCTAATAGCGTGGGTAATAAGGCATAAAATACCGGGCGTTATTCGGTGTTTATGTAACAGTATATAATTGATGGCGAATCATTGTACCGGATAATCGCTCGAGCGGCCGTTGACGGATGAAATCGAAATTGGTATCGATATTTTCTCTGAACCTATCTCAATATTTACTCGTAAATTAACTTTATTCGATTATTGTGATACTGGGCACTCTGGGCACGTGCTCAGGATCGAGAATGTCCCCATCTGATAAAAGATCCTTATCCAGATGAGAAGGGCCTCCCTTGATCTTTATGTGCCCAGTGCCCCCCTTGTAGGTTAAAGACGGCCCTGCTCTTCTTCGATAACTTTTAAGGTAAGGATAGTTTTTTCAGGAAATGCAAAAAAAAAAAACGACTAGGGGACAAAAATGCTCCTGTAGTAGAGACTAAATGAGCTGATGATAACAATTAAGCCGCTAAAGAAGAATCACAGGAGATAGAATAACTACTTACGATGTTTCTGGCAGCCATCGACGTTCTCAGGCCAGTTGCAGGAGTGGGCGTTCTCGTTGTACAGCAGACCGCCGATGCACAGCTGCTCAGTGGCAGTCCCGTTCCAGCAGGTCCAGTAGCGAGTGCAGGAGGCCATTAAACCGAGATAGAATCACAGTTCTAATAGACAAAAGAACAGAACTTACGATGTTTCTGGCAGCCGTCAACGTTCTCAGGCCAGTCGCAAGAGTGAGCGTTCTCATTGTACAGCAGACCGCCGATGCACAGCTGCTCAGTGGCTGTCCCGTTCCAGCAGGTCCAGTAGCGAGTGCAGGATGTCTCGTGCCCGAAGATGCCGTACAACCAGTCGCAGTGCTCCGTGCCGATTGGGGGATCTGATGAAATAAAATAGCTTTTAACACCTTGAGAAAAGATCTTGAATGGTGATCGCACATCGAGAAGAATGGGAAGATGACCATATACTCGACTAGGTCGTACTCGAGACGTACGACCTAGTCGAAGACCAAGAGAAGTTTATTTACGCAGAGTAAGTTGCTTACAGACTATAGGTAGAGATTTTAGTGTCCAGTGACAGGACGTATCTATTGATGATCAGCTGGGAAAACTCATCATCTCAACCATAGGACGTCCACTGCTGAACATAGGCCTCCCCCAATGCTTTCCATGTTACTCGGTTGGTAGCGGCCTGCGTTCAGCGCCTTCCTTTACGATGTCGTCGATCTACCTTGTGGGTGGACTTCCTCCCACGCTGCGTTTTCCGGTAAACTATTTATTTTATAATTTACGTTCAGAAATTGGGTCATTTGGGTAAAGAAACATCATTCAGCAGGATGCCTGATTGATTCAATTTGTAAGACTGCTATCTAGTAAAAAAATCATCTATTGGTGTCGTCTCATGATTTGTATAATGATTTCGGTCGACTCAAAAATACATAAAACCCTGGATATACTCACTGATTTGTACTTTAGGGTACTCGCAGTAGTTTGACCGCCACGGGTAGTCGCAGCCCTCCGTCACTCCTCTGTGTTTCCCAGCGAAGACCAGACCGTTGGGGCAGTCGTACTGTACTGACTGTCCGTTGTCGCACTCCCAGTATTTGTCGCAGTACTTGTCGTCGGCTACCACGCGCGACTTTGTCTTGCAGGGGTCTTCAATTTGTGCGCATGATGCTAGCGCTGCACAGGCCAGGATGGCTGGAAAGAAGAAAGATATAGTTAGGTTTGTGGAAACATTTAGGAAACTGAAGATATTATGTATTGTAAATTAGACTCTATAGTCCAATAGTATCGTTGTTGGACTGCTTATTTGAGTAGCTAGTTTAGTTTCCGCTGGAATATTGGAATATTGTGGTGAACCCACCCCAAAAACAAAACTAAATGTGTGGCTTTTCAAGAGAAATTAACGGGAATATCAGTAATTGATGCACTACAAATTGTTGAATTGGAAATTTAATAGGTCTGGGTAAAATAGAAAAAGTGAACTCGCTGGGACGTTTACATTTTCCCTTGGTTTCCTAGTTTGTTTAAACCTTTCAACGCTGAATCAATATTTTCCGAAGAGCTTCAATTTGAAAGGCACGTTAGCCGTCCAACTGAGCCATTTCAAGTCTTACATTTTAATGTTGTGTAAATAAACAAACCGCTTCTTCATTATTACATAAGCGGAGCAATAATCAAAACCGTTGGTTTATTTACTAAGTTATTAACGTAAATATTATGAAGCCTTTAAGATAACCCAACCCTACTTTGCAATTCGGAAGATATTTATCGAAGCAATATAAATAAACTTCAACAAAAACATTTCACATTTTGCAAACTGTTTTGATATATTATCACAAAGCACGAAATTCTTTTTCAGACGGCGCTTTATAAAACCTATTATGTTATATTTCGTCGGTCTTCGGTCTCTCGCATCGTCGGTCCTTTTGTGTTTCGAAAAATCGAGAGTTCCGAGAGTCTGATTACGATATGGTGACGGTAGCGAAGTTAAGGCCCCTCACCCACGGCGGTTTTTTGTAGCGATCCTGTCGCGTGTTAGCATCGATACAGTGGCAATGCGGTCGCTAGTTGTGTGCCAAATAAACGCGCTTCTGTCGTGATGTAAACCGCACATGTAATGCAAATAAATGATTTGATTTGATTTGCAAACGCGATTCAGTAACCCTCCCTCCGTTCTCTCCCCGATGCTGTCGTCCGACACGGTTGCGCTTTTGCATCGATACAGTCGCGCTGCTGTAGCGCGTTAGTAGCGCGTTGGAATCGCTTCTGTAGTGCGTTGTAAATGCGACTAACGCGCGTTAGTAGCGATGCTGTCGCTTGTTTACGAAACGCGCGACAGCACCACTACAAAAAGTCACCGTGGCACAGTGTTTTATTTTGGCTTAGAAGCGGACATCCATGTTTTATTAATTCAATCGTTAGATATTACTATTATGTATACAATTGATGAAGGAACTAGTAGTTGTATTTGTTTAGTTTCGAAGAAATATTCGATTTTGTGATTTTATAAAAAAAACTGTTTTAGAAGCATATTTTCTAAAAAAATTACATTAAGTCAGAATTTTGTAAATAAATTTACCTATCACTATAACGTCTACCTTTATGTAAAAATAAATGGTTATTGCTGCAGTAATTTAGGAATTATTTAATAATTTATGATTTTCAGAAAACATTTTTTTCTCTGTTGTCCTAGAAAAATGGCAGCTAGACTTACTTTATATTGATGCATGATATAATTATCTATAATACCTGAAAATATTACTTGCCTATCCCGTGGAAGTTCGAAGATATTTTAATTTCTATGAGTTTAGAAGATTTATATGTAAATAGGGTTGTCATCTAAATATTTTTTAGTTTTTTAAATGCCGTCCGTAACAATACGGTTTTAATGCCTTTGTTAGATAACTATTGAAATTCATTGCTTTTACCATTATTAATTTGTCTGGTCGAGTTTGATAATTATAGAGTTGGCCCTGTGGCGGCTTATTGGAAATCCTATCGTTTTCGAAACATCGATATATATGTTGCAGTCAAAACTCATAATCGATCAAAACCACTTTTGACTGCAAATTTCAGTTAATAGTGGTTTTGACCGATGGCCTTAGTCAATATTACTTTTGACAAATTTTTCTAGTCGTATCATCGAACTTCCACGGGATAGGCAAGTAATATTTTCAGGTATTATAGATAATTATATCATGCATCAATATAAAGTAAGTCTAGCTGCCATTTTTCTAGGACAACAGAGAAAAAAATGTTTTCTGAAAATCATAAATTATTAAATAATTCCTAAATTACTGCAGCAATAACCATTTATTTTTACATAAAGGTAGACGTTATAGTGATAGGTAAATTTATTTACAAAATTCTGACTTAATGTAATTTTTTTAGAAAATATGCTTCTAAAACAGTTTTTTTTATAAAATCACAAAATCGAATATTTCTTCGAAACTAAACAAATACAACTACTAGTTCCTTCATCAATTGTATACATAATAGTAATATCTAACGATTGAATTAATAAAACAGGGATGTCCGCTTCTAAGGCAAAATAAAAGACTGTGCGTGGGCGAGGGCCCTAACAAAGACGTGTAACTCGGCGGTCTCTTTTGATGTTGAGATAGATCACCGATATGAATACAATACAGGGAAAAATAAACGCTCAATCTTACCAATTGTAATTTTCGCCGCAATTCAAGAAAAGTTATTTCTTTTCTTGTCAACTAATAAGGTGATAACGTAAAATATTGTTTTGTATTTCCTGATTCTATTTGAAATTGATGAAAAATATTATTTTTACACAAATTGGGAAAAATAATATACCTAATAGTAATTGTAGAGTTTCACTCTTCTTTCATTAGTTCAATGGACTCTATTACTTATTATACTTGTGTATTCGAACAAGACGTGGAAATGTTGTTTAAAACTTTGCAACACATATACTAGCAAGTTCATAAATCAGTAGGTACCAATTAGTTGCCGATGCTATTGTGTGATGATAATTGGGGTAGTACCCGTTGGGTACCACGATATTAATAAGTTATGTAAGCACTATAATAAGTTAATTATAAGTTTGTTTCCTTAATAAAGAAAAATAAAATAACTAATGTCATACTTAATAAAAATCAGCAAAGAGAACAGCGGATGATGTTGTTAATTTTAAAAATGCATAACTTTCCCCGAATTTCCTTGGATGCTGGTACTGATTGCTGATATTTTGTAATTTTGCTCCTGTACCTACTCGTACCTATCTATTGATGGTAAATTGCTTTTGCAACCTTACTCTGTATAATAATATTCAGGGTGTTTCCTGTAAGGTGTCAAGCCGAAGGCAGGTGATAGGTGTGGACCATGCCTATCGATTTCAACCCCATGTAAGTTGTTCTATAATTTTTCGTAGTTTAGTAGGTGGCCTTGGTGGTGGCTTGATACCTTACAAGAAACACCCTGTATATGCTCTTGCTGCATTACGTCTCAAGATATCCGAAGTTATCGACCACAGACAATTTCGATCTAGGCATACCTAGTGGAAGCGAAAGCACTGCATTAATGCGTAGACGCGTCCATTACTTTTATGTACCTCGTGACGCAGAATAAGTAAATGTATGACGTTTTACGTAATATTCCAGTGAAATGTCGGAATAGCGAGGTCTTTGAACCTTTGTGAAAAATAACATTATGACTAAGTTTATAAGATAAGATAGTGAAGTAGGTTCATTTCCATTTTTTTTACTTGCAGAAAGCAAAATTTTATTTTTTACTATCAACAGACCCAAATGGAAGGCAGGTTTTTACATTAGTGTAACGAAAGGCAGAGCTAGTTTTTGGGTTCGTTTCAGCCGAATGACGTCCACTGCTGGACAAAGGCCTCCTCCAAGGTTTTCCACAATGAACGGTCCTGCGCTGCCCGCATCCAGGCTCTTCCAGACCTTCACAAGATCGTCGGTCCACCTAGTAGGAAGCCTGCCCACGCTACATCTTGAGGCCCGTCTAATTTTAGTGGAGCCAAAGTACCATAACTCCGAAAAAAGCTCTGTATTTATATCGAATTCCTAAAATGTGTACTAGGTAGAAATCAAAGGAGTGCCAATTTTTCTTTCACTGTCCGTTAATTGTTATTCTCTACATTATTTATTAACTATGCCATACATTGTATTATGTGCTTATTGGACTTACTGAGCCTTTCTCTGTTAAGACTTGTTATGAATTTTGTTTTGTTTGTTTTTAAGACCGCATTTAACTTTATAATGGATCTATAAAAGAGGATGGCGGAATTTGTTTTAAAAATATTACACAGTTATTAGAAACTATTAAATAATAATAGACTTGTCGTTTAGGCAACAATATTTAGTTACAAAACAATCGCTACTAATAAAGTCCTTGTGCCATTTAGTATAATGTAAACGTCAACCCATATAATTAGCAATAATATGAATATTGAATGAATGCACAACTTCTGCATAATTAACAATCAAACTACGCAAATATTTTCCTACAGAAAATTGCAGTTATTTTTCTTCTTGTGTAAAGTAAAAGATATTTCAAGTAATGCATAATTAATAATAATGAACTATGATTAATCATGATAATCTTCAGTAATGATGAGATTTTACTGAAATCTCACGCAAACTTCTTGAGAGATTTTACTGTTGCTTGTTTTATTTCCCTACACTCATGTATGTGTTCCATTAAGTGTTCGTTAAAATACTTAATGGTTAATTATCCACCATTAATAAACACATTTTGTAAAATAAACCAAAAACTTTTCCGCCAAAATGACCGAAAATTGCCATTTGTTTATTAATCTCGTTTACTGTAGATGTTAACGTCAATGTCATAGGGGAGACCTAGGAGAGTTGTGACAATTTTTACTTTAGGGGCCATATCTCGCTCAAAAAACATTCCACAGCTATGAATCATACAAATTAATGTAGCACCGTTCCTTCTGTTTTCAAAACAATCACCTAAGTTAACTAAAGTATTAGGGTTTCTAAGAAAATCACCAAAATCTTAGACCACTCCCTCTGTCACAACCCTCCTAGCACCGAGGTAAGTTGTGACAGGTACCGAGGTGAGTTGTGACAGCATTGTATTTCATCTATTAGATATAAAAATACCATAATACTCAATCAAATATTATTTTTTAGCAAAAAAGTACTTTCATCATCCTTTCGTAACAATTAAAACAAATAGTT